CTAACCTATCATATTCTTTCTAAAATGCTTTGTTTCCCTAAAGAAGTATTTACCTAATATATCGTTCTAACGATTTATGGACACCATTAATTAATTTGTTTTAATGAGTGGGACTGAAGTCTGGTCTCGTATTTTGTTAACTCTTGTATTAAGTAAACGCTTACTAGTCAACATAAACAATGCCTAGCAGAAAAACTGTGAAATTTCAAAGCCTACAACTTCACGTTAAGTAGTCCATTTGACGGTTAAGAAGCGTGGATATTTATGAGGGACCTTTATTGGTCATCATACATGTGTTTTCACACTCCTAGTATCTTTCAATTCAGTAACTAACCCTGAATGGCTTCTTCCATTCGTCGTTGACTGGCAACATTTAGGTTGTTGAAGATTGGTGGACAACTATTCAAAGGCTGTGCCGAACGCAAACTTTCTGATCAGTGGAACTCATTAACAATACGCATGTGCAGCTCTGACGGACTTCGTGTCACCTTTAAAGATTAACATATCCACCACTCAGTGGTGATCTAAGGTACTTTATCACCAGACAGTTTAGAATTCTAGATTGCGGGCACGAATAAGTGACTGCAGACTAACCAGTGCACTTATTTTATCCTCACTACTAATTGTACGCTTGCATTCTGAAGATCACATTAAGTGACATGACACTGTTCCTTAGTAAGCATAGCTTCTGTTCGGCACTAAAACTACCTCGACTTTTAAAGTTTGCAGTATGAACAGGTATGATCTTCCTTGGTAAGCCTACTTCAGGGACGGATACTTGATTAGCCTTGACATGCCGTTTGCAAAAATGACAAATTAAGAAGAAATAAATGAATTAATTACTTTACACAAGTGTTATTTTTAGTCACTATTACCTGCAAACATTTTGCAAAACGGAGGCGTCAACTTCATTTTTTTGTATGCTCATTGTGTAAATGAAATCCAGCATAGTACTGATAATTCTGCTCATATGAGATAAAACTAGAAGGGCCGAAAACGAGACTAAAACAGTGGATGAAAACAATGAAACGTGACATAGGTTATAGGAAATACGTTTTCTACTCAAACATGCAGAAACAACTAATATTATCAAGAGTGCATATCCTACAAACTGTGAAGAAAGTAGAACAGTCAACTATTCTTTAAGCCTATAAAAATTGCCTACCGCTCGCTAAATAAAGCGTCATGAGTGTACACCTGGTTATTGAGAAAGAATATTTTCCAATACTTACTAACGTCTGTTAACTGAGGCGTTGGAGACAAGAAACTACTCATATCTAGTTTGTCCTGGTTTTATTATTCCGGCTGTGTTATCTTAGTGACGGAATAGTGAAGTACACTCCATGGGGCCTACAAAACTACCTGGATTTCAGACCATATATCAAGCTAAGGATTTCCAGACCGTACGAAGACTCGAACAAGGATGGTATTTTTATAAGTTTTTAGTGGTTTTATGACATTCAATACCACCATACAAGTACAATTTCTTATAAAATGTGTTAGGAAAGAATTTAATTGTTGTACAGTGTCTTCCAACCAGTTATCTGAATAGCTAAGTTTTAGATGAGTTATGAAAAAATTTAGGAAGTGTTCACCGACTTACTGATTTTCATGGTTCAATAACAAACCGAATGCTTCAATAACTTTTCTTACTTTTAAGCAGACGTTTGCGTACATCGTATCGACTGCTTTAGTAAAATGTTGGCTAAAAATAGCACAGACTATTCGTAAATGAAAAGGCTGCTTTCCTAGTGTAATTACTGATTTTGTAAAAATCAAAGCTTGTAAAGTCAGTCAACCAAAAAAAGAGAAAGATAAAACAAACAACTGACTAGGTAAAACCATTATTCATAAGAAAACCATATACATAGTCCTACCACTTTATTAATTTTTAACAGTTCCGAATCTGGACAAACTTTGCTGCAGACAGAGAAAGCTTGGAAAATCGTACTATCTGCAAAAAGTAATAAATGAAATAATCATTGAAGGTAAATCTTTACTTAAATTGTACCATCAAGACGTATTCATTCAAGACCAACAAAAGACAATAGAAAGTTACGATACGTTGGTCTAAATGTAGTTTAGTGGTCAAACATAAACGGGGACATGTTGAGATTGAATCACAGAATCCAGTCTACACTTAGGACTACATAAAATATGATATGACCTACTTCTTAGCGTTAAGTCAAGTACTCGTGAAATACTAAGTCTGTAGTGAGAATAAGACAGTTATTTAACACCTAGTTATAAAGTTTAACGCTGTTTTGTCGTGGAGGTGTAAGCATTCAGACCATAAATAGCTTCACGCCTGCGAAACTGAAAGCGCTACCGAATATAATGCTGTGTAACATGATTAGTTGTACACCACTAACACCAGTCAGCAGTGGTGGTTGGTCAGATCAAGGTGATCTTGATACCACAAGGCCGTTTAGCTTGTTCGTGACTGAAGTCATGAGAAGTGTATGCTCGAAATTGGCTCCCACTTAACTTTGTCATTTTCGCGGAATCAAGTGTACCCTTCAAACATCTGCCTTGATTCTGCGTATCGTCAGTTCCTTTATATAGCTGGCTGAAACTTGTGCAGTTTGAACCATTTGGCTATCTCGAATGAATCATTCCGAGTACACAGCAATATGCTTGACATCAAACAAGTGAAATGGTCTATAATTGTTCAGATCATCTTAAACCGGCTAGCCAGGACTGCTAGTGTGTATGAGTGGTCTACCACTGTTGCGTCAGCCAGGAGTATACTTTGTAAATTTCTTATGTTCCTTAATGACTAATAATTGTTATAAGGCAAAGTGAATTAAAAAATATTTTAAACGGGTATAATCTTTTGTATAAACAGTTCAGTTTTATTTCAGTGCCTATCGCATATTTTAGTCAGTCAATCTATCAGTAGGTTTTGTAATCCGATACCAGACGGTTACATAAGTACTTATTTTTCAATGTTTTCTGGAGTACTATTACCCCACCCTAAATTCTAACAAAGATATACTAATTTTATGTTTCTGTAAATATTTTAGTGATGCCTAATAAGATGGGAAAGATTGAAGTCCTTTTTTAAATAAAAGGCGAAAAGATTCTTTATGCCTGCTAGTTTGAGAAAGACAGAGAAAGTGTAGTTGTTGATTTTCAACAGTTTGCACCAATCCAATGGTGTTTATGTTCTGCTGGTACCGACAGTGCAACGAGGAAATTAACGAGTATCAATTTCAACACTTTATTAATATTTCAAGTTGTTATTCATTGTAGACTGACATCAGTTGGAGGAACAAAGGAAACCTGGGAGCACTGGACAGCTGTTTCGTCCTAGTATGGGACTCCTCAGCAGTGCGCACCACGACCCCACCAGCAGGGACCGAACCCACGACCTTCAGGTTCCGCGGCCAGCGCGTTACCATTGAGCCACTGGGTCACAATCCAATGCTCCATATTTCCAACTTCTGTTAGCTCACGATATATAGCGCAACCGCCACCCAATGTCATCGCTGAGTATTTGTCCTCATGGCCATCAGGCTTTGACTCCACCGGTCACGACTTGTCATTGGAACTTGGGAATACTTCTCGAAACTAGTCACCAATGAGCACCAGTTCAATTAAATTTTGAGGGAGTTGTGGAGATTTGGAATTATTTCAAGTTGTTCAAGTTCCAATGACAAGTCGTGACCGGTGGAGTCAAAGCCTGATGGCCATGAGGACAAATACTCAGCGATGACATTGGGTGGCGGTTGCGCTATATATCGTGAGCTAACAGAAGTTGGAAATATGGAGCATTGGATTGTGACCCAGTGGCTCAATGGTAACGCGCTGGCCGCGGAACCTGAAGGTCGTGGGTTCGGTCCCTGCTGGTGGGGTCGTGGGTGCGCACTGCTGAGGAGTCCATACTAGGACGAAACAGCTGTCCAGTGCTCCCAGGTTTCCTTTGTTCCTCCAACTGATGTCAGTCTACAATGAATAACAACTTGAAATAATTCCAAATCTCCACAACCCCCTCAAAACTTTATTAATACACTGTACATCCCGCTTCATCACCAGTTGCCCAGTATTTTAGAAACATAAGAAGTGATCAGATGACTCATAGTTTGTTGAACGGTTTAAGAGATGGGATCTAGCTGACAGTTTTGCTGATTGGTTGAACAAGACAGTAGATATTAAAAAGAATAATAATAAAACATTATCAAGTGATGGAAAAGGTCACAGGGTTTTTTTATATGGTCGAAAGTAAGTAGAATTCACTCTTCCAATCAGAAAGCTCTACTATGCTCAAGATTTTTTAATATACGCTGTGGTGTTTTTATTTTTGGTACTCATCACCATGTTGATAAATATGGAGTATTCAAATAAGGGATTTCAACACTTCTGATCCTAGATTATTGGTATAATTGTGATTCAAGTTTCAGAAGGAACAAATGGCTTATGAACCTTAAAAATGCCACCTCTGACTTTGCTTGACTCTAAGATTTTGACTCAAAAGGTGTAAATACAATAATAAGACCAAGTGCTTTAATCTGAGCACTCAGCTGTTGTCTCAGCCCTAAGATCAACTTTGAGATGACCAATTGTATAGTTTTGTGGGAAGTGTCATCTTCGCTTGTGTTTATTGTCCTGTTTTATTCACTACATATCAGCACCGATAATTACGTCTACTGGGATAATGGAGTATTTGACAATAATAAGCAGCTCAGGCAACAACTAAATACTACAACTTTACTATGATTTTGAAAAATTAAAGTTATTAACATACCAGGTCGTCTTTCTGTTGAGTTATCAATAGAGGAATCTACCACCTTAAGGTGATAAAGAATACATTTGTTGCTTCAGTTCATTGAGGCTAACCTTAGACACCAAGATAGAGTCTTTTATTAGATAAGACAGTCAAGGTGCACTTCTATCTTAGGGTGTATGTTACGCTGAAGCAGCTATAAGTGTAATTGTACACCCTGGATAACAGTCGTTTGCCACGCAGAGTATACAGTTTGAATTTGAAAAATAAAACCATGAGTTCCTTAGGAGCTCTGAGTACACCTAATGAGTAACTGTCAGTGCTCAAATTATTTATAGGGTTTCATTCAAATCTTCTCTAACTAAAACAACACCACTAACCACAACAAAATTCATAGCTGAGATTTCACTTTAGGAGTAACACCTGCCTTAACAATCATGATCAAAATGAATGGCTAACGTGTCGATTTTTATTTTAACTATCTGAAGGAATAAATGTCTAACTCTTCCATCGTTCACTTTCTCTGATTCTCCCTTATCTGTCGTTCAGGAGTTTATTGGTCAGCTTCAACGGGCTCATAAACGAGACGGCACACCAAGAGAATCAATACATGAATCCCTAGAACGACTACCCACACTGGAGTCTGAAGCAAAAAAGTCGACATCATCCTCATCAGCACAACATTTTCGTCAGGAAAAATCTGATGGCCTTTCAAGAAATTCATTTGCACCAGCTGATTTCACATCAACGTCACCTAGACACAGTACTGTAACCGGCGGTGTTGGAGGGAAAAAGAACAAACTGTATGTTTTATCCCTGCCTGAAACATTTGACTGTTCACTCCCAGATATTTTTTAACCTTTTTTTCAGGAGTACTTTCACTTGCATATTCCAAGACAATGACTGAACTTGAAATACAAGTCTGGGTAGCTATGAAATCAGAACTACTGACCTTCAGGTTATCATTTGGTGTTGCAACTACTGAACCACGATATCTAACTGACTGCTTGAAATCACTGCTAGTTTGAAGCTGAATCCCTTTACCTACATGATAGTCAGGTGTGTCTCAGAAAGAAGCAGGATCGCTTAGAACTTAAAGCTGAAAGACAATGTACTTGAAAAAGTCTTTATGGGAAGGTTTATAAATTGCAGTGAAAGTTCCACAGCATTGAAGCTAACTGTGTAAAAGTCTAGAAACATAGGCAATAAAAACTCTAATAGGAATGGAAACCGATACAGAGGTGGAATCATATATAAGACGCTACCAAGGCGACTGATATGTTTCCACTGGCTTTTTAAATCAAGATATCAGACCTCTAAATTACTATGGCCTACAAAAACTACAGTACAGTGAATTCATACTATTCAGTCATTATTTCCAGTAAACTAGTAAAAATGAATGGTTCTTCAGATCCAGCTGGTGAAGTTTATTCGGGTAGTCAGTGCCATTTGACTTCACTTGTTAGACTACTTAGAATGCATTCAATAAAGTGAATACTTATGCATTCATCCATCTTGATATATTTACCGTTGTATCTGCATGTAAATGAAGTCATTAATGGTATACCTGATGAATTTGTTTACCGTGTTCAAAACGTGTCTTAAGAAGAAGCTCAACACTCTACTACAGAAAATGCTCTGTAAGTTGAAGTTCTCAACATCTCTTTCTAATAACAGTCAGCGATTATTCTCCCAATGATCTAACAAAAAAGCTTCAGTGCCTAGATTTTCTCTTGCTTTTCTGTAAACTATGATTCTCGAAGATCTCCAAATAAGGCTGGCTTATAATGATAGCAACGATTATGTTAGACGAAAGAATTCATTCAGCAGACCCAACTTTCCAAAAATAATCCTTTATATTAAATTCTAAGATTTTAAGGTCACTGTGTTAAATGTTTACACCTTACTGAACACATCAAGTTACAATTATTATGCGAAACTTTCGGTTAAGAGAAGAGCAGGTCTATCAAAACTTGTCTGCATTCGTAAGCAAAATTATATTGGTGTGTTGTTACATTGATAGATGATCGGTAATATATCTAATCAAAGTGCTAAGAAGATATTTAATGTGACAGCTAGTGCAAGAAGCCTGGGTTCCAGGTTTCATGTGTGCCTTCATTTGTCAGTAAATTGCATCTACGAACTCAATAGAACTGGTAATACCACAGAGATTCAAACCGGCTTCACTCAGTGCTGTAGTCACAGATATTGTCACTAAGGTGATCAGGGTGGTTACATTTCAATACCATGGACAGTATGAGAGGGATTAGGAATTAAGAAATACCAATCTAGTGAAAATTTGTAAAAAGAGGCCATGGATATGAATGTCTGTCAGAACCTTGCTTTCGCTTATGTAGTGTTAATAATGTTGACAATGACAAAAACATTATGATATATCTAGTTGCGAAAGATCCACACATTCATGACAATCAAGTGTTCGAAGTTCCATAACTATATCGTAATGCAATAAATGCTGTTTACCATTACACAAAAAAGCTCTAAAATCTGTAAGTAATCCTGTCCCACATGTAATTATCTGTTAGCTGAAAATTTTAGTGGTTCATTCTCTGAATTAACTGGTGGCTCATACCGTCTCAAATATTCAGGTGAACGTAGACCCTCTTGAGAATGCAGAAGTGTGTTTTCATTGTACCTCATACAGCAGAAGATTTAAAGTAAATGTTGCTTCCTGTTGACCGGTTGTTGATCACCAACATCGAACATAATATTGTGTCAATGTGCATAAACTCTAAACACCACTTAATAGTAAATGGTGCTAGTGAATCTTATGTCACAGGCAATTTATTAACGCCTAATAGATTGGAAAACAAAACGAACCTTTAACTAATCATATACATCAAAAATATGAATATGTAGAATGACTAAATAAAAGTCAAAATCTTAATTGCTCGTAACAGTGAAGAGAAAATAGAGCTGTTTACAAATGCTACAAAAAACAATAACATATTCAACACTGATATTCATCAAAAACATTTCATTCACATAAGTGTAAACCTTGCGCACTACGGTAGAATTTAATTAAATATCATATTTGTTTATTTGATTTACAACATACAGTGATACAGTATTATTTACTTGATGATGTTTCTAGCATAAGTTTTTGCTCATAATCATGTCAATGTAATCATGCTACTTTCGACTATAAAAATCTAGACTTCAAGTCATCTCATCCAATGTCAGTTAGGAAAGTTTAGTCAAATGTCACAATGAAGAAGTTAGAAAACTGACTAGTCAATGGGAGGAAGCTCATAAAAGAAGCGCTAATAGTTTATAATTATCTTCTACAGTTTACTGAGAAATTCTCACGAACACACAAGAAACGAAAAAATAACAGTAACACGAGTACTAATAATAATGACAACACAAGTAGAAAGAAGTTCACAGCCTCCGTTGTTAGCCCAAAACGAAGGTACGTCAGAAACGTTATGCAGCATCCTCAACCAAGCCGTAATCAGAGTGACATTTAAACCTACACACTCACTCGGAGATTCACTTTGTCGGCTTAAGGAACCGATAAAACCAAACAAGTAGAGTAATCTAATTCGTCATTTTGAAATAGTGCAGAATATTTGTAGCTCAGGTGGATGATATTGGTTGTATTGTGTTCTCTGAGCTGAGTTGTTTAGCCATAGGAGCTTTCATCGTCTTCCTAGACAACATCATCTGCACTAACTTCAGTATGAAGTCAACTGTCAACATCTCTCCGTCAGTGATTTAGTAACCTGATGTGACGAAGTGGTCTGTGATTGGTTGTCTCCCTCAATTGTTGTCATCGACTGTATAGATTTTCCTGTTGGCTATCCCTCTCCTTGACCTATACCCCTTTCATCGTTTATCATATTTCTTATCGGTTGATGGATTGGGTCCATGTCCATACATCTGTTGATTGCTGACTCACCCGAATGTCACGCTTCTAGAAATTTTCTGATATACTTTATGCTTCGTCTGTCCGAAATTTCTACATTGTCGAAATTCAATTCATTTCCATAAGTATCCACATGCATTGAAATGAGTGATGAAATGTTGTGACATTTGATAGCCAATTTGTGTTCATGTAGACGAAGGCGAAGAGGGCGGCCGCTTTGTCCAATGTAGTGCTGACTACAGTTATTGCAGTTGATTTTGTAAATGACATTCGGTTTGTCTTCTTTGATTGTCGCATCCTTTGGTCTTTATAATAGTGTTTGCAGGGAATTTGTTAGTTTATGGGCCACACCAATTCCGTGTGGTTTCAGTTATCCTGTGCTTGTGGAAGCAAATACAATGGACGAACTGAAAGAAGGGTGTCTACTCGATTTTACGAGTATATTCCAGGAAATCTGTGTCTGAATGGTAGAAAGGTCTTTAAAGGCCCAATCACTAGGCATCTGATGGAAACAAGACATCAAACAGATGTTTCCCAATCTTTGAGGATAATCAACAAACAATGAACACCATGTTTGTTACGTATGCGGAAGCTCTGGCTATCAAACATTTGCAAGCTAACCTATGTACTCAGAAGGAGCCGTAGTTAACCTTTCTTTAACTTGGTGAATGTATGTAATCATTTTACATATGTATGTATATAGTCTTCTCTTTTCTTTTAATTGCATCATCTCTTCATTAATTACTTACAATGGACAAAGAGGCAAACAACCAACTACCATTCCTGGATGTTTCAGTCAGTATAACAAATGCTGGAAAGCTGGAAATCCAAGTGTGCAGGAAGCCAACATACACTGACCAAATCATCAACTATAGTAGCAACAACCCAACAAAGCAGAAGATCAGTTGCTTGCAGACTCTGTTCAGAAGAGTCATAAGAAATATGATAAACGATGAAAGGGGTATAGGTCAAGGAGAGGGATAGCCAACAGGAAAATCTATACAGTCGATGACAACAATTGAGGGAGACAACCAATCACAGACCACTTCGTCACATCAGGTTACTAAATCACTGACGGAGAGATGTTGACAGTTGACTTCATACTGAAGTTAGTGCAGATGATGTTGTCTAGGAAGACGATGAAAGCTCCTATGGCTAAACAACTCAGCTCAGAGAACACAACACAACTAAAATCAAAGTATCGAATTCCTTGTAATTACTGTATAGACAAGTACATACGTTAAACTTGTCGGTCGGGGTCAGTTAGAATAGCCGAACATACGAACCTTGCTAAATATAAAATAACAGACCTAAATAAGATCAATTATCTAGGAAAAACTCAGCTATTGCTATGCATACATTAACACACATCCACACATTACGTTGGAATATGGCTACTTAAGTCCAATATAATTAGGTGGAGAGAGAGAGTGATTACTGAATCTTTGTTCATCGAATCAACACGCAACACAAGTAATAGGAATGACGCAACCGCTTTACATGAGATATTGAAAATGTTATTGCCAATCAAAACAAGGAATATGATGTGACGTAAGTATAATAATCAAATGTCGAAAGTAGTGTGATTACTTTGATATGGTAATAAGTAATGATTAATTCTCGAAACGTCATCATGTAAAAAATACTGTATCACTGTATGTTATAAATCAAATGTACAAATCCAAAATAGAACAAAACGACTTTAATTTATCAAAATAACATCGCACACTAAACTAATGAAGCATGCTAGTGGACCAATTGAGGTTGAAATTTCTCCATTTTGTCTTCGGTTAACAGTCATTGCTATATCACATCCACTATAAGTAGACTATTTCGAAGCAGGAAAAGGCTTTGAGAAGAATGTTCTAGCCTAATCGGGGATGATACGATAAAGTCAAAGAAGTATAAACTAAGTTCTTCACTTGGCCATCAGTTCAAATGTTTGCTCTTCTTCTGCGATCATCCGCCCTATCTTGATGTTGATTTGCAGTTCAGATAGTATTATTCGGAATGGTATAAGTGAAAATTCTAACAGTCAGTTTGTCATCGAAAATCTCACATTTTCTTTTGAGCTAAGCACTTACGAAGAAGTCAATAAGGATAAGCTTTGAAGTGCACTGAAATACCAGTTTGGAGATTATATCAAAAGCTCCATTAGGATGCCCTTGTAGTTCAACTTCATCCATCGGTTAATATGAATTACAGGTTTACGTCATTGAATAATTTTTGCAGATACCCTAACCAACCTTGTAGGATACAAAAATGAATAACACGTTTTACATTTGAATGACTTCTAGACCGAACAGCGTGAAACAATAAGTTAACGGACCGAAAAACCTACAAAACAACACTAAAAAGTAACTATTGCATGAAATTTCCTTTAAAGTCAACATTACAACCAATCAACTTGTAAACTTAACTGAACACCACATCTTCCTTTTATATGGTACAAAAATGGACGGTAAATCCTCAAAAAACAACCTGAAATATTGACAGTAGTCGTAAATAGTTCCAAAAAGGATCCATTGTTCTGAATACTAATTTATCTTTATTGGTGAAACGTTGACTTTAGTTACCGTCACAATTATTATACGTTTGTTTACTCACATAAGTGAAAAACTATGAAAAATAATTATTTCTCTCTCCTTTTTTGTCAGAGGTTTTCAGTTCTTTAGACCTAAACCTGTTGTACAATCTGGAGCTAAATTGGTCCAAGTGAAAGAACTCAAGCGTATGATTCGTGCAGGTAACCAAGTTATGAACAAATACACAATTGGGGACACTCCTTTGAGGCCTTATTAAATGATAAATGTGAGTTTATGACCTTAATCTGTGCTATATTTTAATATTAAAATTTTCTACATCCTTGACTGTTGAACTTAAGCGTTTAGAAAAGTGTAGGCTGTCTAGCAATTATCCTTGGAGTATTAGAAATCAATAGATAAAGACTAAATAATAAATAAATAAATAAGTAGAAATAAATCACAATGCCACAGATATATCCACTCTTCAATACATTTACAACTTTGAATATCTAAACTAACCTTCATGTACATTATTTTGACATTTATATTTCCCAATAAATGTAAAAGAAAATAAATTTATTTTGAAGGTCGTTTAGCTATTTAATGTTTTGTCAGATACTTTAGCAAATATGACGTGTATTATGTGTGACGAGTGTGTGAATTACTGATTGGGGTTTGAACGTACAGTTGTGCTGATAATTCTTATCTCATGTGTGTTGATTGTCAGTATGTTGGGTGGTTTCAAAATTAGTTAGGTTACATTCGTCTTGGTGACTAACAGTGGAATCCGGGATGCTCGTTTCTTCCTATTTGGAACTTGTCAGACGAATGTACCTAGACTCTAGTATGTGAAGTTGTTCCCACTGAGACACGAACCCGATACCCATCGTTTCAAACGCCGAATCGTTATCCACTGAGCCATTAGTGCACAACAGCCTCGCCTCACCTACTCTTCCATTCTCCTCTAAACACTTATGTCTACATTATCATCAATCTCATTTAGTAATTTTCTATTGATATGCTGTTATGAAGTGTAGCAATTTGTAATGATGTGCTTACGTGCAAGTTAACATAATGATTTGACTATCTAACTATCTGATGCTTTCTACAGTAAATCAAAAGGCCTTCATCCAAAATATTTATCATGCAGATACTCGAAGAAGAGAAAGAACCAAATATGTATCAGTGAATTGTATTTGCATATGAAATAGGCTGTAAGAAAAGTCATTTTCAAGTAAGAAAATAAAGAAATTTTTATGTGGAGTATTTCTAGGGAAAAGCGGTTAGGAAGTCATAAACTGAAGCCTAATAATTTTACTTGAATATGTTTTATCAAAGTGAAGTATTTCCTGATTAAATACTAGCAAACAACATGAAAGCAGCGAAACATTCTTAAAAAGTTGTTTGCTTGTTGTGACAGAAAATAAAATACAGGATATGCGTTTCATTATACTCTTGATTCGTCAGCTAGATGCCCTTTTCCCCTCCTATTTTTATGTTCTTACTGAGACTTAAAACTGATGACTATCGCTTCGAACCAAAGAGTGTCATAGACTAGGTTAATAAGTCGCTGAAGTCCGCCAACGATTTCTAGATAGGATGCAACGTATAAGGGAAAAAATAATTACCACCAATATGCAAGTGACATCGAAATGAAACTTGAGGGTATGTGCGGGCATCTGATTTAGAAACATACACACCAACAAAAATCCGGACTAAAACCATACGCGAATGAAAAATATGAGTATAAATGAAGAGTGCATAACACAGCTTCTTTAACTTTAAATGGAAAGTGGATTTCTGGACTGGAAATCTTTGATTCTAGACGGTAAAAGACATAACCTTCGACAAAGTCCTCTTTGACAACTTTCCATCAGTTTTTTATCTCATGAATGAAGTTCTTCCAGTTATGCATTATCATATTGTTCTAGTTCACAATTTCTTGAAACACAAATTGTAAATAGACTTCACTGAGTGTGTGAGAAACTTGAGAAAATTTAATATTTTTATGCAAACTAGGAAGTTAATTCTTGGGTTCATTTTCTTTTCGAAAAAAAGCTTACGAACATTCCAAGATGCACTATGAACAACTCAAAAACTGATGTCTCAAATATTCTAACAGTTAGAAAAATATTTCATGTATTTGTGGTCTCACACGTCACAATCAAATAAGCCTTTTGAAGAATGAGTCGGATTCAAATACTGTTTAGTACAAACTACGGGATATATTTTAAATTACTCCTATTATATGTGAAATGTACTGAGACCTTGTCACTTATCCTTAAAACATTGAAAAAATTAACGCATTCAAATAAATTCATTTTGGTAGAATAATTCTAAAATAAACTAGAAAAGATTTTTAATATCTTCACGAAAAGTAGTATTTTCTAACATACTGGATTAATGAGAACCAACATTGGACATTGAATTTGTTTTCATATTCGCAGAAGTTTGTTTTTAAGCAAATATGTCCTTTTTTTTCTCTTGTTACAATTTTTGTATTCTAATGAGCTATTTCGGTGTAACTTATTTATATATATCCCTGAGATGTTTAGAAGATCAAAATACGAATTTTGTAAACATTTCTCTCAGAAAGTGTCAAAAAGTCTGTAGTCAAATAATAAAGTAAATGAACTTGTTTTCGGGTCATTGGTTAAGATATTTTTTTCAAATTTTACTAGCAACACTATGAACATACAATAACTGATAAGATCTGACCATTCTAAAATGTTTAGCCTAGCTAGTGACCTGCAAACAAGTTGATTTATTTTTCTGTTTGAATATATATATCTGATTTTATACCACTGCTTAATATTATATGGTTGGAAGCACGTTATAGAAAGCTCATGGCCAAGATTTTGCACCTGTTGTCAATCATCAGCGTGGTGTATGTGTAACAACAAAAGCCAGTTTCAGAGTTTGGCCTCCATATTGTAGGATGAGCCACAGGGTTCAGTCAGCACATAAGAATAAATAACATGAAACTGGTTACTGTGTAGTGAAGCAGCAATTCAGTTAATTCTACCGTGGCACGAACACGTCTTTGTTAACGCCTCTAGCTTCAGGACTGATTGCCGTGGATTCGAATCTCCCCAGGAGGACGTCATTTTCCTTGAGTTTGCATATACGCTTTTCTGACGAGTGCCAAAAAGCTCAAAATGTAAGTCAAGCAGGGGTTCCAATCGATAAGCCTCAACCATCTGACGTAAATTAAAGTGAACTGTGATACCGTCTCCTAGCTTTTTCACTACACTACAAAATGAACCTAGTTGAAATGTCACCAAGTAAAAGTAAACCATTCACATTACTTCCCGATGATAAACTAAATTAAGCTGTTTTATACTACTTACTAAGTGAAATAAATCATTCACATGAACTATTATGATTGAAAGGTTTCTATAACTAGATTAAGCAGATAGAATAAGAGTTGAAGTACAAGTTTCATTCTTTTTGTATAGAAATTACTGACAAAGATAATCAGTTTCTTTAAATCAGCTAAGTGAAAAAAGGGGAGTAAATCATTTTCACTCACTCAGTAAGTGAAACTTATTGGTAGCATTTAGCTGTGTGGCTGGCGTACAACTATTGATATAACTCACTTGTATGCTTTATTAAATATTGACGATTCTTATTTCAATGTTACAACTTGCAACTATTGGTATGTGGTCTCTTTAAGAGGTCTACTTGAAACTCTGGTTCACTGATTCGAAAAAACGTCAACAGCTGCCAGCTATATGATCCACGAGTAGTTTGCAGATGTCTGGATGAACACAAGTGTATCCTTCTAGTTATTATTTTCTGTGAGTAGGACTCACAGTTTCTCTTTGGTTTCGATCAAATACTATGTCATTAATGTTTCACTTTGCCAAGTGATTTTCAAGTTTTTATTGATACTTCCACTTTAACGCTGAATGCTATGCTGCAGTGAATTGATCAATCTGCGTTAGTATATGGGCTCCTATTTGGATGCTTTGACACCGCCTGAGGATGGGTTATGATGTAAGATGATTGCGACATAAACACAACAGGTTTTTTAACTAGTTTATCACCGACCAACATGAAATCTGAAAGTTATTGGACGTGTCACACACATAGATGGTTTTGGACTAGTTTTTGCTTATCTTTCAGGACCTCGGCTTCCTGTCAATTGCCTCCATCAAAATAACACTTATCTCAGTGCATCAGGATGGTGTCTCCTAGTTTGATGGCCGCATTGCAAAATGTTCAACAGAATTCGACCAGCAGTCAGGATTAGACAATATAAAGTTAGTTACCCTCCGGTGACCAACCATTGTACCTAATCCAGTCCTACAAGAAGTTAAATGCAGCCTGAATAGCTCAGTGGTGACATTGTTGACTGGATTACTGGACGATGTGGATTCGAATCTGTTATATCCCGTCACCAATTCTTATAACCTTGCTTTCACTTTTGGTATTATTCTAGTGACTACTTGATTTAGCCCCGATTATGTATATGTAGACGCTTGAACAACAACCTACGAATTCCTTACCTTGATGGTGGACCAGTTTTCTCGAGAAATGGAAAAAAATGCGGTAAGATAACAAAAGGTATATTCCAACGTCAAAAATATGTACAAAAAACAAGGATTTATACATATATACAAACACCTTGGTTAGTTAAAGCCCTTTCTGAACTTGAACATCACATTGATTTTTGATCATTCAATCAACCCGATATTTAGACGGTGGTTCACATGTTTTTTCCTTGAAGTTCGAAACGAAAGGAGTGGTTGAAAAAGGGCTTCCGGGATTTACGACTTCTATTGAAGATTTTGGTAATCTCATTTCACACTAAATAATCTCAGGTGGAACATCAGTTCCCTAAATGTTGCAGATGCACCTTAGTGACCAGAACCAAAAGGCGCGAAACTTGGGTCAATTAGTGCTTGTTGTCGAATCTCTGCATCCAAAAAAAGTTTGACTTTCTTAGTCTTTGCTTGCTATTAGACGTAGTGAGTTGAGTGTACTGTTTTAATAACATATTATTCGTTGTTAGATTCTGAAATACCAATATTTATTGTTTAAGTTGCTGGGAGAAAATCGCTAGGTTTCGTGCTTGTTTGCAAGACGTATATGCAACCATGAAAAATTGGTGTCACCTAGGTGATTCTAGCCTGCACCGCTAAGTGTGGAAGCTCCAGACTTGAACATTTATGTGTTTAGACTACGACTGACAGCTTGTGATGAAAGTGGGAAACTTGATTGTTAAACTTTGGTAAGTACCAAACACTAAGCAACAGACAACTAAATGGGCTACTAACTGTTGATCAGTTCATGTACTCATGGTTGTATAGTGACAGTTGTCTTAATTTTTAAAATAGTCAGTTACTAGAGAAACTTGAAACCGCATGGTTTGTTTATGCGTATTATTCACACGTACTTAATATGCAGAATTGTTCAGTGAAGGAATACGTGAAAGTGTAACCTGCCTATGATTGCCTATTTCCGATGTTTAGTTCATTCTTATTTTTTCGATATAATTAGAATTCGTGTACAAAACAGTAACAATAATTGGTGTTTTCATTCATTTTATTTGAGTACAGATTCTAATCTTTTGTATTTTTAGGCATCTACTGTGCTTACTTCCTTAATGCTTTCCAACTGACAAGTCTTTACCCTGAGAAAAATAATAATTCGGTTATTTATATTTCAGAAATACTTACATAAGAGTTTAGCAAGCATGCTATACGTATTGATATTCTGAATCAGTGCATGATAGTGGGAATGAACTGGAAATGACATATTTTATAGGAAATTTTCTGGGCCAGATAATCATTCGTGAATATTTTTAAGGCTCCTTCCTACATGTATATGTCTTATTGTTAAAAATTCAAATAACACAGGTGTTCAAATATCTTTTCAATTATCGTTTTCTTACGCGACATTTGTATTGGTGAAATTTTATTTCATTCTATTTCATTTTTTTTAGATGGACTTGCTTTATTCAAAGATTTCCTCAGTACTGAGTTCAGTGATGAGAATATTGAATTTTGGATTGCATGTCAAGATTATAAACACACTACAAATCCTAAAAAGTTGGTTGCCAAAGCCAGTCAGATCTATGCAGAATTTATAGCAGTTCAAGCTAATCGTGAAGTTAGTAATAGTTTATTTTTTTCTACCATTTATATTTACATATGCAAGAACGTATCTATATGTTTGTGTATGGATATATCCGTGTATTGAAGAAAACATCCAACGGGGTGTTGAATTCATGTCAAAATCCAATACTGTATTGGTTAATCTTTGGTGATCAATTAATATACAGACGCTAGTTAAGTAGGACGTCATTTGTGAACTTGAATAGCTTGGTACTAAATTTCTTTGACCACAACTTTGAGTGACGTAGGTTCTTATTACCAACTAACCTGAGTCGACTCAAGACTGTAGATTAGCTCCAACAAGCAGGAAATCAACGTTTAGGCCTTTTTGATGACTAACTCAAAAAATGTAACACTAAATACTGTGCGAAACTTCATTTTTATTATCTGAATCGCTAGATAGCAAACTTGACAAGTGGACCTGAGTCAGGATTAGGCACTTGAAACTTAGTAGTCACATCCAAATCAGTTCAATCTGCCCCACTGTATGGCTCTTAAGAGTAGTCGTTAAAGATGGAGAACATAGTGAGGCTCCAAATGTTTGACACCTCTACCTCAAAAACGTTAATTGTGTCTGCTATCATTAAGTTAGGCTTACAGTCTGAATTAAAGTGCTAAGTCAGTTGATGAGATTGTACATATTCATCATCTTTGTTGGATAAGACTTTGGTTGGAATACTTTTCAAGCAGGCTGGACTAAAATGTGACATCAGTTCATGAAGTTCCTGATCGTTAGTTGACCTTCGTAATGAGACGTGGATTTCTGAAATCGGTGTTTCAAGAGTCCAGACGATTTGGTTCAGAGTTGATCGCACTGCTGAAGATTCACTAGTACCTCATCTTCATTCACATAAATGCATTATATTTTATTATTAGCTTGAACCCCTCTTCTTTTCATTCTGTGGATTTCTGCTACATTTTCCCATGTTATTTTCATCCCCTTGTCTTGTTGCCTTGTATCTTGATTTGCCGACATGAGGCGATGAGCTCAAACGCTTATGCTGACTGACTGACTAACTGAGAGTTAGCGGTTACTACCAGGTGACCCGTTCATATTTTGTTTGCTGAAATCTACCATTTAAAATTGAACCCTTCAGCAAGTAACTTATACATATCGAAAGAAATGTCAGCAAACATCGTGCAGAAGAATTATGCAATAGCAGGAATTGTTCATTATATAGCAACCAGTGTAACCTCCAGGTTCTTAGCTCAAATCAAATTATGAGAACATGATAGAGATGCTGAATATCATTAATTACACTTTCCGAACCAAAACTAGTTTCTCTTTGGGGTTGTAAATAAAACGCTTACCTTATGACAAGTACTGACAATCACGTCAGTTACCTGAATAACTTCCTGTCGACTGTTTTCAGTATACGAACACTAAGCACAACGAATCAAGAAAAACCTAACAGCACAAGCAAGTAGTTACATGTAGTTTTGTGGACTGTATTTGTTGTTTGATGCTTAACGACACTACCTCGCCATGGGTTTCGAACTAATGAGCAACCGCTTTAAAGAAGAATGATTGGACATTGAACCACATCTATATTCAATAATCAAATACGTAGTTTTCCCTAAGCGTTGATGTTTGCTAAAAGTGCTAATGATGAAATTCAGGAGCTCTTTCGCCCTATTCCCTCTTTCTGGTATATTCCGCATAGAAGAGAAGACAGGTTTCTTCGTACCACGTCATAGAATCGTTGATTTCTACAACTAGCTGCACAAAGTTAACGTGTGCCTTTCATAAAAGTCCTAATCTACACTTATCCATTTATCATGATACGGTCCCATATTGTCAAAAAGTTAGAGGAGAAGAGATAATGCAAACAAAGAGTTACTTTACATAATTATTCTACTAATTATTCCATTAATTGCTTGCATAATTGACAGATAGCTGTTTGGTAGACTTTTCATTGTTAAATACAGTACGATCGAAGAAGCAGGCTGAAAGCGAAATATGGCACCTCCCTTCAGACAGTGGAGAAAATATTATATCCCATGTTTATTGTCTTCTGGAAGCAATTTACATACATGTACAATTTTCAGTAGACAAAAAAGCATTTTTCTTCAGCAGCAGTGTACAGTAAGTATACTACGTACAGACACAAATTTACGCACTAAACCAAACGTAGACTGACAAAAAATTCACTTGTTCTACTGAATAGTATTCTTAACGCTTTGCAGAAGAGAGATGAACGGACAGACAAATGACTAGAATAGATACAAACGATCTTGAATACCAAAGCTTAGTAGGAATTACTGTACTAAGGTGCACAATGATATTTAAAACGCTTACCTATGCACAGATTGATTTAAAATACAGATAAAATGTTAAGCCAGAATTACAGATGTCTTTTTGGGTAACATTATAAAATCTCTGATGTGGCATCAGTTCATGCATTTTGCATTATAAAAGGTGTTCAGTTTTTACTGAAAACGAAACTTCTTTTCAAAGTGTTTAATTTTGCACATACCATTATGCGTACACTACAGGTTTGAGCTATGAAAACGTTCATTGAGAAAGTATATTGTAAAAAGAAATTGATTGATTGCATGATGATGGGGTGACGACTGAGGTTCAAACTAACGGCAGCATTTGAAACAACAGCCGTTGCGTGATCAACTCGACGTTCTGTTGGGTGATCATTGGCCATCAGTATTCCGAGGGCCTCCAGTTCAAATCCTGCAGAGACCCAGGTTTTTACTTCGACTGTCAACGCATTCCGAAAAGATGAGACTGCTAAACTATTGTGTCAGATAGTTTTGTCTCATTACTGTTTAGTTTGAAGCTCATCAACGTTGTTAAGATGATCCATAACTGAGTAAGTGATCGACGTTTCCTATTTTGAATGAATCCCAGGTGTAAATATTAAAGAAAACCCAATGTCACCATTACGCATAAACCAGTACTCCAGAGCTTATTTTCACCCTAATATCAAAAGTAAATTATCACTGAAATCTATATGCATACGCTGAAGCTCATTGGTGACAATAGCAGACTTCTTCGACTTAAACAAACAAACAAACTGTATATATGAGCCGTTATATATGACTTGACCTGTAGCACAAAGAGTGATTAGCATAACTGGGTGGCGTACTGGCTTATGTCCCGGTGTCCTAAAAGATGGATGTTGAGATACAGTCTTGATAGCAATCACAACACTACAGAGTAAGAAGAAATGTACTTCCTTGGGTTTTACTACCAACCGCTAATAATTAGTTGCAAATAGATCCTTAAGAAATTCTTTTCCATAGACTAGGTTGTTGTATAATTAATTTATACTTCTAAATAATTTGGTAATGAAGGGAAGAAACTGGTGAAAAGATCACTTGCACAAGTGTATACAAGTTTTCTACAGGATTTTTTGATTAAATATTTACAGTCATCTGGTTAGTTTAAACTGAAGCCTGGAATACTATTGCGTTAAGGATGATATGGGGCCAAATATCAGTAAAATGACCTAAGGCAAATCGAGTGACGTTTTATGCGCAGTTTCTACGTATTCTTATATGTATACACACATAAGAAATGATAACCTCCCAGATAAAATGGCGAACGTAATTATTCAATCTCTCTCGATACAATCAGTTCACTCAATATAGTCCATTTGAACACGATTTACTTATCTGGTAGATCATTATTATTATTAGTCCTTTGCGTTCCCAGTGGAACATAGAGCTTCAGTAACATATCGCCATTTCACTCCCTTCTCTGCAGTCATCTCAACATCACTTCATGACTACCCATTAGTTTTCATTTCTTCCTCACACCATCTCCTCCATGTCACCCACGGACACCCATCTCATCGTTCTCCATCTCGGTTCAACTCGATGGCCTGGCCTGGCAAGAGACCTCCCCAAATCATCTTCTCTATGGATGCCCGATCCATCTCTATTACCTTCTGCTTATTTGTTATGCGATGGGTCCTTGTTTCATTGGTTCGTTTCCAGCCAACCGACCAGCCAGCCAGAGTTCCTTGTTGCTTATTCTTATTATTCTAGTCACCTGATCTGATCTTCAGTGTCAGTATCGAGTGAGCGTAGGCTGCAGCTGTTGATGAATGTCTGTGGTTTGTTGGAAATGCTTTTCGTGATGCGCCAACTCTTTTAACCATATAGAAGGACTGACTGACTTGACTGAATTAGTATTGAAAATCCTGATCTTGTTTACGCTTTATGCTGAGTGCAGTAGTTCTGCACACTGACGGATCATTAAGCTCCCAAATTTACAGACCTTAACGGAGGAAGATTGGAAGCAGATTTTAGGAGAATTTATCTGGTGTTAAATGCCTTGAAAACGGCTTCTTGTCACAAACCTCTGTGCAATAGGGGATTCTCATTACAAGGCTTTTTATGCTCATTTCACTCGACTCCTAAACAATTATCAATACACCGGTGTGTCCCCTTTACCCTACGAGACACTCGGCACAGGAAGTTCGGTTATGACACTTTAACCGCCACTTAAGCTTATTGGTTAGTTAGTAACCTTGGCTGTACATAACACGGTGACCCCACTTTAAATAAGGGATTCATGTAGTGTTTTTACGTTTTCACTTGAATACTAACGGCGTGAAGAAGAAGAGGAGCAAATCTGGTCAAGTATATTTTAGTCCACTATGATGTTATTCTCATTTGATAATCTACACAAGTTATTTATGGGTATTTCTTTGTAACCATTTTTAAGCTTTCTTCTGATCCGTTAATTATTGATTTATCTTCTGGAGTTATCACGAAACAACTGTACAAAAAGTATGGTGTGTATCTAGTTTCCTCACTCAAATCTGTTTGTCGTGTATCTGTAATTTGTCGGGTTTTTGAGTATATCATTCATCTGGAAGTATGCATGAGCTACACATCAATAGGGGGAATTGAGGATTTCTCAACATGTAATCATTCCGTTCACTTTTTGCAAGGTGACCCTTGGAACAACTTGAAGTTATAGTCAGATGACTCTGTAAAAGTATTTTATTCACATTTGTGTGTTAGATCAAATGAGTCAGGTCAAAATATTTTATTCCCTTGACGCAGCTAGGTGTTAAGATTCAGTTGAAAGGATGCCTTGTTTAACATAAGTCCTCTGCT